AAATAACAAACAGTAAATGCGCCATATATTCCTATATAAAAGTAAATAAAAATTATTTAACTTGACATGTTCTTTTTTGTGACAGAGCAGCACCAGTACTGTTATTTTAAACATGAGTGAGTTTTTGACAGTTTAGTTTTTTTCCATCACTGCCATTACCTGCACAGAAATAATTCTTGCTATTTGATGGACAGTGCTCAGAAACTCTCCTTAAGAAACATACAGAAGTTAGGAATACTTTGCGTGGATTCATTCAAATAAGTCTCAAAATCTGAAAGCTGGCAGTGAAACTGCATCTGGAAAGCACTGACTTTCAAATTGTAAACCTATGAAGAGAGTGGGTGAACTCTGGATTTCAAAACATAAGTTACCATTTTTTAAATATACTTTAAATATAAATGAGTAAATTTTGGTCCAGTGACAATTTGTACTTCATAGATGATTCTACAGCTGTGCTTTGAAATCTCAATATATTTCAAAATGTTATGTCAGACTACAGCTTATGTAAATTTATCAGCGAATTTATTCACTTCCCTCACCCAACGTAAGCATGTTCCCACACATGGCACAAAGTGGGTGCTCACTTTGTATGACCTGAAGAAGGGGGTGTGTTGATCTTTACAGAGTTTTTGCTGTTGTTTATGGTGTTGGGGATTTACCCTTTGGCTCTACATATACTAGCCATGTGTCCCAGCACTGAGCTACCCTTGTTCCCCAGCGAGAGATTAAAGCATTGACAGAAGAGTTACCTTGAGCAAGTTCAACTCTCAGGGCCTGATAAAGTTGCATGATAGGCTTTCTCCTTTATTATATTCACTGCTCATTATAGTAAACCTATGATTCTTCACTCTACTTGCAGATTTGGTTTCGAAATAGGAGAGTCAAACATAGAAAAACTGTGACAAGAATGACCAGAAGCCGTGAGAAGAGTAGTGACAGTGACAACTGAGGCATTATCTTCCCCATGTGGCTGGAAGAGCCCTAGAGTGCCATCTTCTCCAGGAATCAGAGGCAGATGGGTTCTTCTAGTGCCTTCTACACTTGGCCTACATGCTGACACTACAACCGTTTTATCCTCTCTACTCATAATAGCAATAAAGAGGCATATCCACAATGTGTGTGTGTGTGTGTGTGTGTGTGTGTGTGTGTGTGTCTTCTTATGTTAGGAGAATATGGGTGTAAATTGTTATGGGAATACCATTCAAATTCATATGCCCTAGAGTCTTTAGACTCTCTGTGGCTGCATAGCAAGCTTTCCCAGCACAGGAGCCTCCAGAATGCTTATGTGCTTTCTATTGGGCTTCTTCCAGCAGAACAAGTTTACTACTCTGTGAAGCAGTGACTGGGATGTTGGTCCCCAGTTGAAAACCCATGCCATTGGCCTATGTAGCGTTGAGCTGTGTACTCACCATTTCTGCATTTGGTGCTGATCTCAAGGCTGATGTTCCCAAAGCCTGTCAGAGGCACACAATGTGCTATGAGCTCCCAGAAGCTGTGTTGATAGAGCTAGAGTCATGGGCTTTTGGGAGACACTTGGTTTTAATCAGTGAAACGAGGCTAGAAACTGCCTTGAGTATCTCTAGGTACCATTGTGATATTTTTCTTCTCTTTTTTCTTTCCTCTTCTTTCTCTTGTTCTTCTTTTCTTTGCATTTTTATCCTGGTCCTGGGGCTTGAACTCAAGGCCTGCATTGTGTTTTACCTCAAGGTTAGTGCTCTACCACCTGAGCCACAGCTTCTCTTCTAGAACGTTTGTTAATTTAGTCAAGGTAAGAGTCTCAAAGGCTTTTGTTCCTGGTGTGGCTTTGAACCACAATTCTCAGATTTCAGCCTCCTGAGTAGCTAGGATTACAGGTGTGCTTTACCAGACACAGGCTTACTTTGATTTTTTGACCTCAGGGCTCAGTTTTGCTGTCCCTTAGCTTATTTTGCTGAAACCTCGCTGTCTACCACTTGAGCCACAGGGGCACTTCTGGATTTACTAGTTAATTAGAGATAGGACTATCATGGACTTTCTTGACCAGTATGGCTTTGAACCATAACCCTCTGATCTCAGCCTCCTGAGTAGCTAGGATTATAGACATAATCCACTAGCACCTACCTGGCTTCACAGGGGCTTTCTTACATTTGGACCTGCAAAACAGGCACTCTGTGTTAAGTGCCTGCCTCAGACTCACCAAAAAATACTTAATTTTGGATTTAGGGTTGTATCTCAGTTGTAAAGTTCTTGCTTGTCATACAGAAGGGTTCGTGTTTGATCCTTAATAAGCTCAAAGGAATTAACTAGATTTCAATCCTTATTCTCTTTTATGATTGTTGTTAGCTGGTATAAACTGCCTTATGTATTGAAAACTTTGGTATTGCAGGCTGGAAAGCAATTACTAACCCCAAAGGGCAAAAGGATGTGAATGCCATATTGAAGAATGCTAATACACAATTTTCATGAAGAACCTAATATAGGTTCTTGGTAACTATCATCTCTTTTCTTACAATGATTGAAGGTAGAGGCACTTTGTTTGCTGTTGGTCCTGGGGCTTGAACATAGGGCCTGGATGCCTGGTGCTTGAGCTTTAATTATCAAGCCTGGCAATCTACCACTAAAGCAACAGCTTTACTTTTGCCGCTTTGGTGATTAACTCTAGTCACCATTCTAACAGCCTTTGTTGCCCTGGCCGGCTTTATTCTGTGAACCTCAGATCTCAGCCTCCTGAGTAGGTAAGAACCACAGGCACCCTGCTTCCAGCATTTTTATTACCGTCATTTTCATTACACCAGTGAGATAAGCTGAGGCTCAAGGAAATTAAAACTTTCTCCTGGGACCTCAATCTAATTACAGGGAAGTGAGAATACTATGTCACAAGGATGCTAGGAAATGTGGCAAGGATGGTGAGTTTGTAAGGCAGTGCCCTGTCCTTGCCTTGCTTCAATAGACGGATCCTGGTCTGTTTCGAGAGGATAAGTATGTCTCTCCAGCTTTACAGTAGAACCCGGGTGCCCAAGGCCCTGCCTCCTGATGCCTTACCGTCCCTTGGGTTGCCCGACCCCTTCCCCGTGCTCCCATTTCCCCACCCCGCCGTGCCCCCACCCATCGACATCATGTTCGCCCCCTCTTCCTGCTGCCCTTCCCAATCCCCAGGGTGCCCCGCCCCTTCCACATGCTGCCCTTCCCCTTCCCCATAGTGCCCTACCCCTTTCCTGTGCTACTCTGCCCCTTTCCGGGTGCTGTCTTTCCCCATGGCGCCTCACCCCCTCCTTCTGCTGCCCTTTCCACCCCGTGCTTTCCCTTTGTCATGGTGCTTCACTCACTCCATGTGCTGCCCTTCCTCCACTCCATGTTTCTCGGTGCAGCTGATGCCTGCCCCTTCCTTGTGCTGCCCTTCCCACCTCCCCATGGTGCTGCTCCCACTGCCATGCGGCCTGACCCTGCAAGCGTTGCCCGCCCCGTGCACCAAATGCCGGCCTCTCTCGGTGCTGACCTTCCCCCTCCCCTTGGTCTCCACCCCCTGTACGTTATGGATGCCCGCCCCCTGGTCGTGGTGCCTTTCCCAGTCCCCACAGTGCATCGCCTCCTCACTGTGGTGCCCACCCCCTGTAGGTGCTGCCCGCCCCCTTCCCATGGTACCCCACGGGTCCACACCACACCACTCCCCCCACGTTAGTCTCGTTATAAAATCTCGCCCTGCACAGATTGTCCTTCCTGGCGGGGACTTGGCTGGCTGCAGTGGCGTCTCTTCCTTAGCACTCCTCCTGAGATCCGGTGTGGAATGTAGGCCTCATGGGTGCAAGGGGAAGGGGTCTTGGTCGGGTGGGAGCGCAACCCACCTTCCCACCCGCCACAAGTCTTCAGGCTACCTAGCTAGCTACCACCGGCTGGCGGGGGCGGGGAGGGGCTTGGTGGTGGGGACTTTGCCGCCCGCACCCCCACCGGTGGCAGAGACACCACTGGTGGCCTTCATGCTAGCAGAGGGTGGGGGGTACCGGGTTTGGTGATGCGGACTTTGCTGCCCACCCTCCCATGCACTGGAGGTCTTCAGGGTAGCAGAAGGATGATGGGGGTTGGGGTAGGCTTTGGTGGAAGGGAGTGGCGCCAACCTTCCCTCACACTTTTTCCGGGGTTCAGCCTACGGGATGGGGGAGGTGCGCTTGGTAGGGGAAGGGAGCAGAGCGGCGCCCACCTTCCCACCCACTGGAGGTCTTCAGACTAGGGTAGAAGGGATGTGGAATGGGTCGGGGAGGGGAGCGGTGCCCACCTTCCCATCCATGGCAGGACTTCAGGCTAAGGGAGAGGAGGTGGACTCGATGGGGGTGGGGAGTTCCGCTCTCCTTCCCGCCACCGCGTGTGTGCATGCTAGTGGAGGGGGCATGTGCATGGAGTGGGGGAAGGGAGCAGCACGCGCCTTTTCCCCACTGCAGGTGTTCAGGCTAGGGTTGGGGGCACATGTACCTAGAGGGGGAGGGGGGCGGTATCCACCTGCCCCCCCCTACACTGTGGGTCTTTAAGCTAGCGGCGCTGAAAGGTGCGGCGCTGAAAGGTGCACCTGGTGGGGGAGTGGAGTTGCACCCTCATTCTAAATATGGTTCTCTCCTTTTCACAAGAAAATAGTTTTTGCTGGGCTCTGGAGGCTCACCCCTGTAACCCTAGCTACTCAGGAGGCTGAGAAGCTGAGATGGGAGGATCACAGTTCAAAGCCAGCCCGGGCTGGAAAGTCGGTGACACTCTTACTGCCAACAAACCACCAGAAAACCGGAAGTGGGGCTGAGGCTCAAGTGGTAGAGTGCTGACCTCAAGAGCTCAGAGCCAGAGCCCAGGGCCAGAGTTCAAGGCCCACGACCCCAAAAATTGTATTTTTTTCGTTGAACAATATTTTAAAGTAGGCGATTATACTCTATGATTACTGGTGTTTCTGCTTGTATCAGAATACCACTACAAACTCTAGTTGTGAACTTTTAAGCATTGTTTTCTGTTTTCTCCACTTCCTTAAATATATGACTAAAGGCAACATGTTCTATGCCCATGCACTTTTGAGTAAGCGGGCGCCATTGGCCAAAGTATGGCTGGCAGCTCACTGGGAGAAGAAGCTCACCAAGGATCAAGTATTCAAATGTAATATACAGAAAGCCATTGGAAAAATTATTTCACAGAAGGTATGTAACTGATGTAACTTATGAGAAATGTTAGTATATGTTCATTCAGCCTGAGTACTCAAAGAGGCAAGCCATTACAATTCGTTTGTATCAGGAAGTATATTTCTGAGACAGTTTTACTTTTCAAATGATTGCTTTTATTTCCTTACCATCTTTTGTGTGAACATGAACAAATGATAATTAACTTTAGTGCACAATTGTTTTATATACTTAGCAAGAATAAACTTGACTCTGAGGAACAAAGACTATGCTCTATGTTTTGTATTGCTTTATATACTTCCCTAATAAAATAAGTTGTGCATAGCCAGTACCTGATAATGATTTCTTATGAAAAATGGTTGTGTAGAATAGAAAAGCATCTATTAGGAGCAAAATGACGTGAAGCTATTGTATAAAAAGTAAAATACTTTTTTCATTAAAATCATTTTTTTTCAAATTCTGTATTGTGTTTAAGCGATGGCATAATTTCCCATATTTCACTGTATTGTGGGATAGTGATGCTTAGTTAAAGTCACAAACACATTCTAGCTTTAATGGGTCAAATTTTCTGTCATGGTCTATAACTTTGATGATTTCTATGAGCTTTGACAATACAGTTATTTCTTCTACATTGGGTGATATGTACATTTCTTTTGTTTTGCCTTGTGTTAGCTGTTCCTTCTTTTACTCTTGTTCTTTTTACTTTTTCATCATTAAAAATTTAAAAGTATCTAATAGAATTCCCTTTAAGCATACTAACATCTTCCAAGTTAACTATATGACATACATTTTCAATTAGAGTTGAGAGGCTATTTGTTGGTCACAGTGCTAGACTTTATATTGGTTAGTTTTGTGTGTGTGTGTGTGCGTGTGTGTGTGTGTGTGTGTGTGTGTGTGTGTGTGTGTCTTTGTGTATGTGTGTATGTTTAATCTGCACAGTAAGCCTTAAGCTAAACTCAGTTAAGTTTGGTGATTAACAAGATGAACATATGTGTTGTTCAAATTGATATTTAGCTTATACATTATTTCTAAGATGTATGAGCCTAGGTTTCTCTCCTGTGAATAGACGTTATTACAATTACATTAATGTATGGAAAGCTGTTGGGTCATTATCCGGCACAATGTAAATATATAATACTTGTAGCCATTTTTGTTGAACTGAATTTGAATAAGGCGTAGTGACTCACCTTTTGCAATTTACCCAGGTTTCTTATTGCAGAGTTGATGTTCTTTCCTTAATATTAATAATAGCATACTTCCCTTAGATGCAATGTCTTACTAAGTTTGTTGACTAAAATAAAGAATGTTCACGTTGTTATTTTTACAACTTTAGGTAAAAGCTAAGCTAAGTGGTTTTAGATTTTTTTCAAAAACCCGCAAGGTGCTTTTTAGAGTAGGATTTATGAACCTAATTTTTATTCTTCTAATATGTTGTATATTATCAAAAGGTGAAGTTTGCACTTCGAACTTCGGGACATCTTCTTTTGGGAGTTGTTCGAATCTATAAGAGGAAAGTGAAGTATCTTTTGGAAGATTGCAGTGAAGCAATTGTTAAAATGAATAAGACATTTTCCCCAGGTAAACATGCTGTTTCAATTTGTCTCATTCTTCCTGGTTTCTTTTGCATTTTGCAGGTCTGTGCTCTTATAATTGACAGGGTGGTGTAGTTTCAGATGAGTTAAGTAGATGTGAGCTTCATTTTGATGGAGTTTCAGTATCGATGGTTAAGGACAAATTACATTCTCTCCCTTCTTCCTTTCCTGTATGTATGAGAAAGGTGATGCTGTCCAAAACTTGTTTTATCTGTGTGCATGTTGCAAGTATACTTAAGCACACTGCATGCTTGTAAGGATCAAATACTCTGCTTTTACTGATGCCTTTAACTTTTCATTTGTTCTTGCTTTTACGGGACCTGTTAGAAATAGTGTGATTGACAGTCTTTTCAGAATTGTCCCTTTTCTAAGTTTTCTGCTATTTTTGAAATGTTCTTATCAGAATTCCTAAGCCTTCCAAAGTACTATGTTCATGTGTTTCAACTATAGTGCTTTCAGATTTTAATATACATAGATATCATCTATTCCACTTTGTGGATATTTATCATTTTTCTTCCATTTATTGTGGTGATTTAGACATCAGTCTTTTCCTATCACCAGACTTCAAGTATCTTTGTAATACTCATTTGCTGAACCTCTGTTTTGTTGGCACCACTGCGGTTTGAACCCTTAGGCTTTGCTAGGCCGGTACTTGAGAACTCATCCATGCTATCAGCCCTTTGTCCAGCACTGCTCATGCTGGGATAGGATCTCATTCCCTGCCTCGGCATAGACGTGGACTACAATCTGTATGTTTTAGGATCCTCATTATAGCTGAAATGACATGTGTGCACTACCAAGACAAGTTTCCTTCCTTTGACAAATTCAGTTTACATATAACTGCTGGGAAATCCTTTCTGAGGGGAAGATACCATTTTAGCTCACTCAGCATCGCAGATGTAAAAATATCCAGGCACCAAAATAGTCCCTGAAATAACAGCATAAGAGGCCGATGTAACTTTGGAACAAAGTGCTTATATGACAAACTTGGCAGTCTGAGGGACCCAAATGGCCAGTAGACTTAGAATGGAACAAGGAGGAGAGGGTCTCCAATAGCTCGTGATAGGTTTGTGGGACTAAAGAGGCCCAGGTTGGAAATTTTGATTTAATTTACATGAGGGAAGTTGCTAAACCCAGGCCCAGGTTGGAAATTTTGATTTAATTTACATGGGGGAAGTTGCTAAACCCAGAGTTTGTCAGCTGTTTGCCCTGGAAAACTGATATGCTCATTGCTGTGTCATGGACTGCAGAAGGGCAGGAGTGGATACAGGGAAACCAGATAAAGAGAGAAATCAATTGTCTAGTGGGAGACAACAAGGATTTAATGGGATTGTCTTATTTTATACAATATATTTGCCTATTGATTGTTTTCTGTTATGCTTTTCAGGACTGATTGACCTCTCAAAGGGGGAATTAGAAGCATCTTACACTGCTATCACACTTGAAGAAGAATTTTATGATTTTGACACTGATAACATAAAGTAAATGATGTCCCTTCAGTTAGATTTTCATGACATGTTGCTGTTTTCATGTTCAGGTTGCATGTAGGCAAGTAGAACACAAGAACATATGTAGTTGTCAGAGATTAAAAATTACCATAAAATTACAATACGTGACCACAAAATTACATCATTGTATTTATTGCATGTAGCTTGCAACACTGATGATAGATTGATTCACTGATTTTAAGAGTTCCTTGTGTGCCTTTCCTATGCCAGGCACTGTTTCAAGCATTGAAGAGATAGCCATGAATAAAACTCAGCTCCTGGCCTTGTAGACTTTACATTTTAATTGCAGAAGACTGGAAAAACCAAACAAGTGCATGTACATTCCACCAGGGGGATGACCAGATACTTGATGTGAGGGGAAGTAAGATGCTATGATGGCCAAGGAAGGATTTTCTGCTAATGTAATTATAGAAGCCTGAAGGAGCTAAAGGGACACATGAGTCATGTGGAGCATAGGTGTTCCAGGTAGAACCAAGTAGAGAGGTCCTCAGGCAAGAACGCAAGTAAGATTATAGTGGAGAGAATAAGCAACTGAGTGGTAGAAAAATGAGATCATAGAGGTAGCAAGAGGTCCAGGTAATGTGTGGTCCATTACAGGTATGGTGGCACTTTTTTTTTTTTACTAAGTAAGGAAGCACAGGCAGGTTTTGAATAGAGAACAGAGGTGTGGCCAGATCTGACGAGTTCACCATGATAAAGAAGCAGAGAAACCGTGAGAACATTATTGTAAAAAGATATTATCAGCTAGGAGAATATAGACTTTCTGAGCAATTCTCAGCATTCATCTTAGGAAGGTTGTAGCAGTCAAACCATGGAAGTGTGTGAAAGGCAGAGCCATCAGTATTTGATCATGAATATGGCTATGAGGGTAAGAAGTAAAGGATCACTCTTATTAGGGGACATGAAGATTGAGTTACCTCCTCATAAAATTTTAAAAGGAGAGGCAAGGAAGAGTGGTCTTGGACCATGAATGGTTTTGACCTGAACATCTGTGTTCCCTCCAATTCAGATGTGGAAACCGAGTCTGTAAGGCAATAGTATTTTTTTAAAAAAATTGTGGATTTTGATAATGATTAGATGGTAATGGTTCTCATAAATGGGATCAATGCCCTCTGAAGAGAGGCTTGAGGTTGTTTTTGTACCTTTTCTGTAGCCTGAGTATATAACAAGAAGGTCCCTTCTATGAGGAACAGGCTCTTACAAGACAGTGAACCTGCGGGCACACTAATCTTGGGCTTCCTAAACTCCAGTCTCTATGCATAACAATTGTTCTATTGCTTATAAATTGCCCAGTAAAGTGTACTTGCTTTACAGCATCCCTAAAGCCTTGGTATACAAAACTAAATGCCCAGTGATTCAGTGTCTGGTGAACCTGTGTTTACCGGGTCATAGATGGCAGCGTTGTCTTTGTGTCCTCACAAGGAGAAAGTCATCCTAAGGGTACTAATGCCATTCATGACTGCAGAGCCCTTATGACCTTGTCATGTGGAAAAGGCCGAATACTATCTCCTTGGTGATGATGTTTAGCATACAGATTTGGAGGACGCATGCCTTCAGTCCATAGCCAGTGTGCGCATCTCCCCCGAATGGGGTTGGTGAACACAAGTGTGAGAACGACTGAAAACCAGCACTGGCTTTGGCAGTGTGGAAACTATTTGTGCATATCATATACTAAAATCATATGTTCACAAAAGATACTGTTGAGAAAGCAAAACTCTCCTGTATTTTTAAGCAATGAACCTGGTTTTGTTATACATGTTTTCAATATGTGGCAAAATAACTGTTCTTTTCCTATTGCTTGCTCAAACGTTCATTTCTTTATAGTACTATCGATGCATCTGAACACTTTACTCCAAACCAAAGTAGACCGGAGGAAATTACACTTAAAGAAGATTATGGTAAGGTTCTACCTTTGGAAGCACAGAATTTTGGTGATCATATATAAGAAATCAAAATTACCAGTCATAAGTCATTGTAGTTGTATTTTACGTGGTAAAACAATGCAATAGTAATACCTAACAAATCTAGAAGCAGGTGCCTCACGTCTAATCCTAGCCACTGAAAGGCTGAAAGGCTGAAGGTTCAAAGGCAGCCTAGGGAGGAAAGGCTTGAAGACTTTTAGCTCAAACTAACTAGAAGTTGAAATGCGGCTCAAGTGCTAGAGTGTCCTATATGAGTGAAAATGCCAAGCAAGTATGTAAGACCCTGAGTCCAAGTCTCAATACAGCCCAAACTATCAAATGAATGGACATTTTTCTGTATAAATATTATCACATATTAAACTTTGCTTTTGCATGAAAGTTCCAGATATTACCATCTGCTTCATTTCCCAGTGTACTTACCTTTCTTGAATGCCTACTCTATGCCAGGTGCTATCAAGGACGTGCATTACCAGTTGAAAGAGGTAGTTTGTGTCTTCCAGAAGCTTCAGGCTAGGTAGACACAAACAGATGCTATGTGAACATATATACCAGGGTTCGCATGTATCTGCATAAACTGAAGCTACAGCTGATATTTGTTGCCCAGGAATATCAGTATAATGTTTTTAGTAGGAGAAAAAAATGAGTTGAAATCCTGGATATGACATTTATTAAGGTGGTAACTGTATGAAATAAAAAACCCTTTCAGTGATGTGTGCCCTTATTTGCGTGATGAGGGATAGAACAGTACAGAATAGTACCTTCTGTTGCACAATCCCATATGCAAAGAAGTTATTATTGAATGAATGTTGTAAGCCCATTCTTTAAAATGTCACTTGAATTTTGTTTGTTTCCGTCTAAATATTTTATTTTGCTCTTATTATCATTTTTCTTTTAAAGTAATGTTTCATTTTCCATAGATCTATTGTTATATGTAATTATATGTATACATTACCAAAAACGTATAAATTTTCTTCTGAATTTATTAACAGTTGTCAGCTATTAATAGTTAAAGGTGTTCCAACTCTTAAAGTATAAAGGTTTCTACAACACACTTAGCCTTAATGATATGTATGTATATATTTATTTAGGGGAAGGATCTCAGATTCACAGAGGACAGAGCTTTGTGGAAGGGAATACATTGCTGAGCTGCAGTGTCCCTTTATCAGAACATAGTACTGGAAACCTCACTGGAGAAAAGTCTTTGATGTGTAACAATAGGGATGGATTTGGAGATGAAGGAGCTTCTGAAACAATGACAGGTAGGCTGTTTGGTTGTACAGAAATACAATAATTCAGTGTGAACACGATGATGAATTAGTGGGCTGAGTACATCAAAATAGAATTTGGAGGCAACTCTGTGTCTTGTACACCTTAATAAAGTACACAGTTTTCTATACATCCACTAAAGCTTCACACAACTCTCCAAAGAAGACAGTGATATGTTTGGGCCTAAAGAAAGTCATCCACTGAAACAAATTTTTCATAGAATTTGGGAACTACTGCCTAATAGTTTTTTTGTTTTTCATTTTATGTGTTTTGTTTTCTGTTTTTCATAAATTCATTATTGTTGGAGAGGAGTGAGTTCAGTGTATCCTATAAACATAAGCTTCTTTAACACAAATTGTGGAACACCTGTACAAGATTACCTGTCTAGCACTCTATATTTGCTCTTGTATTATATTACTATAGTATTATATAACTATAGAAATTGGTTAAACATAGCTGGGCGCTGGTGGCTCATTCCTGTACTCTTAGCTACACGGGAGGCTGAGATCTGAGGATTGCAATTCAAAGCCAGCCGGGCAGGAAAGTCTGTGAGGCTCTTAACTCCAATAAACCACACAGAAAACAGGAAGTGGCGCTATGGCTCAAGTGGTAGAGCACTAACCTTCATCTAAGAGCTGAGGGCCAGCACCCAGAACCAGAGTTCAAGCCCCAGATCCAACAAGAAAGAAAGATAGACAGACCGACAGACAGACCGGCAGACAGACCAACAGAAAGAAAGAAAGGAAGAAAGAAAGAAAGAAAGAAAGAAAGAAAGAAAGAAAGAAAGAAAGAAAGAAAGAAAGAAAGAAAGAAAGAAAATGAAAGAAAGAGAAGGAAAGGGTCAAACAAAATCTGAGAAATTTGTCTGTATTTGAAAGACAGTGGGTAAAATGTTTCCATTTAATATACTGTTAAAATTTTCCACTATTAAAATCTGGCTATCCCTTCACAGTGCCCTTTATAAAGTAATGTTAATGTTTTGTATACCAATGGAAAGTTCAAGTCTGTATGGCAAAAATTTCTGTTTTTCAAGACTTTCTATGGAAGGAAAATGAGAATTGCCTGCCAGAAGACATGCCTTTGGAGGGAAAACTCTCACTGACCCCTGAATCTCACCACAGTACATTGAGTATGTTGAAGTCTCTTTCTTTGTGTAAAGTTGAAAAATACCAGTATTCTGGTTAAACCTGAGAACATCCAAATCTAAACAGCAGAGTAGGATAGTGAGAGGTAAAAATAGAAGATAAGGCTTCATACTCAATCAGTCTAACTCTAGACGATGTAGAAAAGGATGTTGGGTGCTGAGACTGACACTGACACTGAAGAATATGTAACCAGGATGGAGTTTGAGAGCATGTTCAAATACTCTGCCCAGAATACTGGGCTTTCAAATCCTGAACGCATATGGTACACATTTAAAAATTATAAGATATGGTTTGAAAGTATACATTTTGAGAGAAATTGCAAATGGGATATTTCTTGGAGCCTGAAATTGTAAGAAGTTCCTCAGATAAGTTGAGGTCCTCTGGGTTTATTTAAAAGTATAAGTTGATCCATTGTGATTCTTCACAACGTTGATGGCCTGTTTGCATTCTAAGACAAGAATAGAAATGGACAACATGCTAGGATGGGTGGCTGATGTCTGTAATGTTAGCTACAGAGGTGGCTGAGATCGGGAAGTCATGGTTCGAAGCTAGCCCAGGCAGGGAAATCCGTGAGACTCTTACCTCCAATTAATCACAGAAAAAACTGGAAATGGCTCTATGGCTCAAGTAGTAGGGCACTAGCCTGGAGCGAAAAATCTCAGGGACAGCGACCAAGCTCTGAGATCAAGCCTCAGGACTGGCCAACAATGACAACCACAATAATAGGAAACATAAGAAGACTTAGCACATATTTCATCATGGATCTTTATGGTCAATTTCTAAGCGATTCAACAGAATATAAATTCTCCAAGAGACATATCAAGTTCATATCAGTCATATACTGGAGTTGCTACCACTGTGTTCCCTGCTCTTAGGAGGGTGAGCCCCCTCTTAGATGTCGCAGGTGCAAAGAGGACAATAAGAGTTGACTCAGCCAAATACTGCAGTTCCCAGGCTATAATTTGAGCCTTGTTTTCTCTCTTAAACACGGGACACTTAAACACTGAGATATGACCTCAACAGTATAAACCTTTAGTTCATTTTTACATTAATTTACTGCACATGTAATTGTCTACCTTGCAGCATAACTTCTGTGTTTTTCTACTCTTTTTATGACGGCATTCATTAGCAAAACCAGATTATTCAGATGGAGCGTGTTTCAATTCAGATGACATATGCTTCCCAGAGATTGAAAAGAAGGATGCAACAACCTTAACAACTAAGCAGGAACATTTCATTCTTCATCCAATTGGTATTTCAGGTCAGTGGCATTTCCGTGTTTTGATTTTGTCTTTGATATCTTTATTTACATACTGAGATACATAAATACTTTAGTAAGTGTTAAAGAAGGCAGAATAGCAGTAACATTTGTCAGGTAAAGGGTATGAAATGACTTTGAGGTGACTCATGATATTCAGTCCTGCTCAAATTACAGATTGACTTTGGGGAACTGGAAAATTAAATCTGACTTTAGTTGAAGGAAGTTACTGAGGCATTGCTGTGTGTTAGACACAGGAATGAAGAAAGGCTTCCGTCTTTGAGAAGAGCATGGAGGTACATCCAGAGAATTTCAGCCTTTGGGCAGCTCAGTTAGCAGGATTTAGAGTTCAATGTCAGCATGTTGTACATAGTCTGAGGCCAGTCTCCAAAAGTGGATAGTGGGGCCACAAAGGAAAAGCTCCAATCTGATTGAGATAAGCAGATACTGAAGCGAATATAACCCAAGGCAGGATGAGAGAGGTCAGTAGAGCGAATCCCAAACATTTCACCTGGAATTTTAATGTGTTTCCAGGAGTAAACAGGAAATATGGACTTAATGTGATTTAGATACTTTAGCAACATTCTAGTTTTATTAGTTAATTGATGAGTCATGCATCTTTAATAAGCTCGGGTGTAAAAGACTGAAAGCAGTCCAATAGCTCTCCTGAATAAAACTCTTGAGGCTTTATTCCACAGGGTTGGCAGAAAGTCAATGTACTTGGCTTCCCTGTCTGTCCTGAGCCATGTTAGAATTAATGTGTAAGGAATGAGAGAAGAGGTGCAAGAGAATTCTACCTGTCATCAGCTACATCAGTTTGCAGTTGTACCTACTGTCCTAACTACATAGTTAGCCATTTGACTCATGTTTCCAGGATCTCACTAAAGCATCTCTAGCAAGCAGGCTCCCTTTCCCACTGGCTCTGTATGATTAACAGGTCTGCATCTGAAATAGCTAATTCCCTGCATTTTCAGCTTGACTAACGAAATCTTGACTTTTTGTAATCCTAGGTACTCAGTAGTCTGAGATCTGAGGATTGTGTTCAAACCCAGCATGGGTAGGAAAGGCCTTGATACTCTTATCTCCAATTAACCACCAGAAAACTGGATGTAGCACAACCTAGTGGAGCACTAGCCTTGAGCAAAGAGAGCTCAGGTCCAGCATCCTGGACTGAGTTCAAACCCCATGACTGACAAAAAAAAAAGTTAATCTCTTAGGCACTATAGAGCTACCTCTGAATGGGCTCATTTCCCTCTAAGTGTAGCCTCTGCTCTACATGGGCCCAGGGGTCCACTTAGTAGGTCAACAAATCCCTCTGAAGCATTTCCAAACAACATCTTAGAATGTAACAACTCTTGGGTGGTCAGCACTCTATCTTACAAAAAATCATGCAAAGGAGATATTCCTGAAAGACTAGAAGGATTTACTTTCCAATGCAACTCTACAGTTATATATGTTGTGTGTACGTTTGTGTGTGTTACATAAACTTATATATGTGGTGTCTAGAGTATCATTTTGCAAGGCTATGCAACCAATCACACAGAAGTTTATTTTTTTATATTTAGGCACTTCTGAGAAAAGGAAAAGAAAAAAGAGGAGATTGCTCATAGATCCAGTTAAGGAGCTCAGTAACCAGAGTATGTTTGAACAGCTTATTTCCATTGAAGACACTCTCAAGCCTATAGAATTTGCACCACCCACACGAAAATTAATGTTGTTGAAGGAGAGGGACCAAGCCAGTACACTTTTATCGACACCAAGCCAGTATTTGGTTTCTGATAAGTTGAAGAAGGTAACAGAACAGACTTATGGCCACTCTTTGCTGTGATTGCAATATATGCTTATGAAGTTTTCCATCTTTGCAACAGAATTAGATCTTGTGTAACCACGTTTCATTTTAAGTTAAATTTTGAGTATGGGTATAGGAGTTATCTTTTTTTGTTTAACTTAGAGCATCTATGCTTGTGTTTAAAGTACAGAGAGAACACATAAAAATGTCTGTTTTTACAGTTGTTTCCAAATTGCCTTTTGCCTTCTGGCTTGAAATCTCAAAGATTAGTGAAGAGGAAGTTACAGGAAGAAGAAAATTGCTACAAAGATGGTGAGATTCACTTAATATAATTATTTCCAAGTCTTTCCATTTCCTAACAAATGGGGCAATGTCATTCTTTCTGATGGAGGCATAGAATTCCATTGTGTATATATACCACATTTTGTTGAGCCATTCATCTACTGAGGGGCATCTGGGTTGGTTCCATATCTTAGCTATGGTAAATACAAGAAACATAGTTGTGCTGGTAGCTTTAATATGGACTTGTTTGTGATCATTTGGGTAAATGCCCAAAAGTGGGATTGCTGGGTCATAGGGGAGCTCTATGTGCAGTCTTGAGGAATCTCCATACTACTTTCCAAATTGGTTGAACAAGTTTACACTCCCACCAGCAATGCAGTAAGAAACATAGGTCCCATGGTTTCCCTTATTTGCAATAACTAGTATATGTCTGAGACAAACAGAAAAGGTCTGATAAGTTGATGTTAGGTGAAATAACCCCAAGATAAGTATTCAAATGTTTTTTTTCTTTCATGCGATTGATTCTAACATATTTATAAGATGATTTCTTTGTTGCTTTGTATGTCCCTCCCCCAGGGTATAAGTCCTTCTTTCACTGTATTTGATGTTGGTATAATTTATGGAGGGGAAAGTAAAAAACAAATTGTTTAAATAGAGATACAAGTGGACCCATTGCAACAATGAGATGTACAAGTCCTTATGTGGAAAAACGAACTTTACAACTTTGTGGGGGGGGAGGGTGGCGCAGAGGTTGGGTGGGAGATGTGAAGGGGAAACAAAAGAGGAGGCAACAATGCTTGATAAGAAATTTACTCATTATCTTGCCCATGAAATTGTAACCCCTCTCTACGGTATTTTTACAATAAAAAAAGAAAGAAAGATGGTCAGACTTCAATGGGGAGGAGAGACTCCTGGAAACAAAAATCTCATTTCACACGTCCCAATGGGATAGATCCAGTTCCTTTTTTCAATAATAAATGATAGCTTGAGAATAGAAATTTTGAACTTCGTATAGTTACTCCAGTCTGTCATTTTTCTTCTTATTGGCTTCACATTTGAACAGGTTGGAATAGCGAGGCATGCTTGTGGTGGCACATGCCTATAATCCTAGCTATTTGGAAGTGATTGAATGAGTACCAGAAGTTTAGGATTAGCCCAACAAACAAGCTTTATGCCTGTAATCCCTGTTATACGGGAGGCATGGCTGAAGTGAGACTAGGCACGAAGCCAAAGACCCTATCTGACAATTAGCTAAAGGAAAAAAGGCTGGAGGTGAGACAGCAGGGATAAAATCTTTACTTTGCAAGTGCAAGGTAATGAGTTCAAAGCCCAGTACCTCACCTTCCACAAGATGAATGTGTTTATTATGTATCCTGTTCTGATTCTTATTCATCCTTATCCCCCCATCTTCCTCAAAGGCAATACACACAAACATACAATAACAAAATACTTACATCTAACACCATGTGTCCTTTAAACAATGAAATGAAAATCGGTTAGTCTTTTCTAGAGTTCTTTTTAATTACTTATACTTTTTCTTGTAAAAATACTGTACAGAGTGGTTAAAGTTATATGAGTATGGTAATGAGTACATTTCCTATCAAGCATTGTTACCTCCTCCTTTGTTTTTCCCCTACCATCCCTTCCCTCCACACCTTCCCTACTCCTCCCTCTGTCCCCCCCCACCCAACTTTCTAAACTTTGTTTTCAACATAGTGTCCTGTACATCTAGTTGTCACAATGGTCAACCTGAAGCCCCATTTAAGCATTCTGCTGTATCCCTTCCCCTCCCCAAATTACAAAATGTATATACAAGATGCAGAATACTGGAATAAAATACAGTGAAAACAGGGGTTATACCGTGCTGGAAGAACATACAAAAGAATCACATAGTGCATTATAAGTACATTAAAAACAATAGCAAGAAAGCAAAAGCCAAGATGTACAAGACACTATGTTGAAAATGAACTTTACAACTTTGTGGGAGAGAGGGAGGAGAGGAGTTGGGGAGGTGGGGAGGAAAGGGATGGTAGGGAAAAACAAAGGAGAGGGTAACAATGCAATGCTCGATGGAAATGGACTCATTACCTTGCTCATGTAACTGTAACCCCTCTGTAGAGTATCTTTACAATAAAAATGTAATTTAAAAAAAGAAAGCAAAAGCCATTTGTGTCCTTGTCTTGGGGTACATTTCGCTTAACATCATCCGTTATATGGTTATATGCACAGTCTTTGACCTTGAAACTGCTTTTCCTAGACATGACATGTCTTAGACATTGCAGACAAGGGAAACTATGGGATCTATGTTTCTTTGGGCCTGGCTTAATTCACAATATAATTTTCACAACTCTGTATTTCGATGTCATTCTTTCTGATGGAGGCATAGAATTCCATTGTATATATACCACAATGTCTTTTTTATTATTTTATTTTTTTATTGTAAAGATACTATACAGAGGGTTACAGTTACATGAGTGAGATAATGAGTACACTTCTTATTGAACATTGTTACCCCCTCCATTGTTTTCCCCCTACCATCCCTTCCCTCCCCACCTTCCCCGAGGTTCTATTTTTTTTTTTTTGATTGTGATTAAGTGATTACATAATTTCCCGAATTTCACAGTATTGTGGAATAATGATGCTCATTTAAAGTCACAAGTTCATTCTAACTTTCCTGGAGCAAATTGTCTATCACAGTCTATAACATATAACGGTGTTCACATGTTATACACCATACATGTGATCAGCAGCATGGGGATATTTAGTAGTGGTTTGACCAGATGAGTGGGAGTTCTTTGTTTCTTAAGTCCTGTTAGTTTTGTCGTATCACCTAACATTTTGGATTTAGCATCCACTTATCAGGGAGACCATGTACCGTTTATCTCTTTCCTCTTGGCTTACCTCGCTCAACATGATTCCTTCTAGCTCCATCCATTTCCTTGCAAATGCTGTTATTTTGTCATTTCTAATGGCTGCATAATATTCCATTGTGGATAGATACCACAATTTTTGGATCCATTCATCTGTGGTGGGGCATCTGGGTTGTTTCCATATCCTAGCTATTGTGAACAGTGTTGCAATAAACATGGAGGTGCACGTGTCCTTGTATATTGGTTCCTGTTGTTCAGGGTAGATTCCTAGAAGTGATATGACTGGGTCGTAAGGGAGGTCAATCTTTAGCTTTCTAAGGACCCTCCAGACTGCTTTCCAAAGTGGTTGTATAAGTGTACATTCCCACCAGCAGTGTAATAGGGTTCCTCTTTCTCCATATCCCCTCCAAGCATTTGTCGTTGGCTGATTTGTGGATGTGGGACATTCTGACTGGGGTAAGGTGGTATCTCAGGGTTGTCTTTATTTGCATTTCCTTCACCACCAGGGATGATGAACATTTCCTCATGTGTTTCTTTGCCATTTTTATTTCTTCATTTGAGAAGTCCTTCTTTAGTTCCCTTGCCCATTTAGTAATTGGTTTGTTAGGTTTGGGAGGGATTAGTTTCTTGAGTTCCCTGTATATACAGGATGTTAACCCCTTGTCTGATATATTGCTGGTAAATATTTTTTCCCAATTAGTTGGTTGTCTTTCTAGCTTGATTGCAATAGATTTAGCTGTGCAGAAGCTTTTTATTTTAAGGTAGTCCCATTTGTCGAGTCTCTCTCCAACTTGTTGTGACCCTGGGACTCTGTTCAGGAAGTTCCTTCCTGTGCCTATTAGTTCAAGTGTCTCTCCTACTCTGTCCTGCAGTAGTTTCAGAGATTCAGGTTTAATGTTAAGGTCTTTAATCCATTTTGAGTTGATGTTGGTGCATGGTGATAGGCTGGGGTCCACTTTTAGTTTTCTGCATGTGGCCGCGAGTTTTCCCAGCACCAGCGGTTGAAGAGGCTGTGTTTCTTCCATTGTATGTCTTTGGCTCCTTTGTCAAATATCAGCTGGCTGTAAGCCTGTGGATTTATTTCTGGATCTTCTATTCTGTTCCATTGGTCTTCGGGTCTGTTTTTGTGCCAGTACCATGCTGTCTTTGTTATTATAGCTCTGTAGTAGAGTTTGAAGTTCCGCATGGATAGCCCTCCCATATTGTCTTTATCCCCTAGAATTGTTTTGGCTATTCTAGGTCTTTTGTTTTTCCATATTAATTTTTGGACTGTTTTCTGTATTTCAGTGATGCACGTCATTGGGATTTTAATAGGAATTGCATTGAATTTGTATATTAGTTTTGGAAGTATTACCATCTTTATTAAGTCTGCCTATCCAAGAGCATGGGAGGTCTTTCCATTTCCTAGTGTCTTCTGCAATTTCTTTCTTTAATCTTTTATAGTTTTCATTAAATAGTTCTTTTACATCTTTGGTTTGGTTAATTCCTAAATATTTTATTTTTGGGGAGGTTATTGTGAATGGAGTTGCTCCCTTTATTTCCTTCTCTTCTTGTGCATTGTCAGTGTACAGGAAGGCAACTGATTTTTGTGGGTTGATTTTGTATCCTGCTATTTTGCTGAAGTGATTTATGATTTCTAAGAGTTTGGGGATGGAGTTTTGGGGATCGTGATGGTATAGTATCATGTGGTCTGCAAAAAGGGATAGTTTAACTTCTTCTTTCCCTATGCGGATCCCTTTAATGTCTTTTTCTTGCCTTATTGCCCTGGCTAAGGGTTCCAGGACTATATTGAAGAGGAGTGGACACAGTGGGCATCCTTGCCTTGTTCCTGATTTTAGGAGAATTGGTTGT